TGTTCTCTGATGAGATCCTCTTTGGGGACAATCACTAAGCTCATGATTTTGAAATCTGCTGCTATTTCTCCATTTTTGTCCAAGTACAGTTTCCGGTGGGAAAGATTGCAAAACTCATTCTTCTCCAGGAAGGGGTGGAACTAGAATCAAAACATTGAGGAATTTTAAAACCAGAGACCGTAGATAATTATTCCATATGACCTTTTCATATTTGATTCATTCTTCTAAAAGAATTAGTTTGTAAGTATGCTTAGTGGGGAGTGCAAATGTCACTCATATCTTCGTAACTCAAAAAGCGTTCAGAAAAATTTGCCCAAACCAAGTACTGAGTACATATGCATGCTTATACTTTTCAGAGGTCCAATATTGTTCTATGGGCACTCATTTTATTGAGTGCATGTAATATTCTAATTTTCTGAGATTGTGGATTTGGGGTTTTTATGAGCTGTAAGCCATAATCATCATAATTATGAGAAATCACAGCTTGAACTATCTTGCTTTGCATGTAATGAGTCTTATCTCATATGTTAGTTTCATCTTTTAAGTTGCATTACTGAAATAAATGAACTTTTGCACGATATTCTAATTTTTCGAGTTTCACCTGTATTGTTTTTGTAAGATGGTCCATTTCACGACTCAATTTTTAGATATCTTTTGCACTTTTTCATAATATGGGTATTATGTTTGTCATACTTTTTAAAAAGGCTGGATCTTAAACAGAAGTAAAAATAAAAGCAGCCCCATGGGAGAAAAAGAACTCTAGGAAGAAGTAGGCAGAAGGTGAAGTTCTGGCAGAATTTTATTAACCCTATTTTTTATTCTTTATTCAACTTCATTCAAATGACTTCTTTTGGCGTTATGAAAATCTTTAACAGATGTTGGCTTAATGAAGTTTGACATTTTGATCCCAGACCATTTTTATTAACTGTCAAGATACAATGCTTCTTTCTTTTTAAAAAAAAACTTGGAGGATGTATGCTGTCATAATCATTAAATAATAAGTGATTGTTCCTGCTATCTGCATATTTAATGTTACGCATATGTTCTGTTAGAGACAAAACTTAGAAATAACTTCATAGGAAGAGGAAACAGTTGTGAGGTATGATTTCTTATTGATGAATAGAAATGGTTCTGTTTCTTCTGAGTTCTTAGGATTGCAGTATTAATATATCTCTCAAGATAGTTTTAAGTTGTTTTGAGGATGATTGTAACATTAATGTTTTTTTCTTTAAGATGGTGTCTATGGTACTTATTGTGTTCATTGTGCCAGTCCATACATTACTTTTTACAAACATTTTGTGCTATATAAGGTGGTGTTGTAAGGCCATTATGTTTTTGCAGTTAGTAAGAAACTTAATTGTGTATTTTTATTATTATTTTAGAATGTTGTTCCAGCTGAAGTATCCCTTGTTTGTGTAGTAAAACCAGATGAATTTTGGGATAAAAAGGTTACACATTTTTGCTTTTGGAAAGAGAAAGATAGACTTGGCTTTGAGGTATGTATATTTATTTTTTTCTGGCTTAACTATTGCACTTAAGCTATTATTGCATGGATTTAGAATACAGATACAGTTCCTAATGAATGAAAATCTGGAAAGAGTTATTAAATGATTCCTTGGATATTACAGTATAAATGTTTCATAACACTAACTTTACCATATTATGATGTATTATTGAATAATTAGCATTGCTCTGATCCCTTGTTTCTACAGAAATGTTGGCTTCTTACATTTGAATTTTCTTAGTCATAGCTGTAAGTGATTTCCATTTGAAATCAGTCCCTTGAAATACTTTTGCCATTAACTTAATTACTAGTTTCCCTTACTAATAATGCCTTGTGTAACCAGATCATTCTAAGATTAATTTTTCCTTCATTTTAACTGTTCCTGGTAGGTACATTAATATTTCCTCCAATATAAGACATGCTTATCCAGCTTTGCTCATCTCCAACTCTTCTATATGTTAAGATGCTCTTTCTGCATTTAGTAAAGGATACAGGAGAGTTGGCAGGAATTCGATGACTTATAAACCTGATCTAGCCATGAGTTTGCCCAGTCCCGACTGGGCTGACTTAAAATAAGCCCCGTCTGCCTCTCTAAATCTCCATCTTTTAAAGGCACCAAAGGCAACAAGCGTTTGGTCTCTATCTCTTTCTACTTGGTGAAAGTTCTCTCTGGAGCAGAGAAAAATAAGGCGCAATCACACTTCAGAATACATCTTTGAATTTGTTCTGTTGAGGGCCATCCAATACCATCTGGGCCCTTGTTTTCCTTCTGGCAAGCTTCCATAGTTTGAAATGTATCCCCATTAAAAATTCTCCCCGTAGGATTGATTCATGCCCTTTCTCTGTCACGGCATTATTTTCTTTCCAAACAAATTAGTAAAAGGCCTAGAGAAAAACTACTAAGGCACTAATGATCCTGAGATAATATTCATATTCTATCATTTTCAGAAATTTGGACGGTTTTTATTATTTTACTCAAAGGACTGATTTTCTATCAGTGATTGCATTATAAAAATGTATTTAATTTCATTCCGTATAGAGGCATTTAATTAAGAAGGTGATGGCAGCCATGAGGGTAATTTGTTATAACTAAAACTCAGTTATGAACGTAAAAGCAAAATGATTGCAGTGAAATTCAGGCATGTTGATTTTAGTAACTTCATTACACTGTTGTCAGTTGACAGTAATACAGAAAATTTGAGAACGCTGTGTGTGTCTGTGTGTTTGTGTGTGTACTATACAAGTTGGAAAAATAGTATGTTTAAACTACAAGGCTTTTAAGTGCTGGCAGCTCTTTCCTCATCCCCATCCCAACTCAAAGCTGCTACCATTTTTGGCATATTAGGACATAGCTATGTTAGCTATAACTGGTAAGCCCCCCCCCCCCCCCGGGCAGACTCTTTACATATCCTTACTCATTTTAACCATCCATCTATTTTTGAATTTTCAAAAATATATTGCTGGAGATGAAATAATGCTTGATGGTACTGAAAGGAACCCTAGGGATTTTTTCCACTTTTTTACTTATTTTAATACAATATGGAAACCATACTTCTATAAATAAACATGTAGCAACATTTTTTAAATAACAAAATTTGAGTTGCAAGCTTTGGAAGATACTTATTTTTTATACTGTCTTAACAAAGATACTTTCTGTTGGGAACTCTGAGGTATTTACATAATGATTCAGATAATCATGCAGCAAATTATTCTCGCATGTCTTGATCTATGAGTTCATTTTTAAAAATGAGTAAATATAAAACAGAATGTAATAAAACTACATAGATATACTGTGTATAAATGGCTTGCTGTGGCTCAGATTAAGTTATACATTCAAAAATCTTGTCTTGAAGTAGTTAAATTTGAAGGAAGAGACATTGCATGGGAATTTTCTCATCTTAATATTCTTGGTGCTCTGTAATTCACAAGGAAAACAAGGTTTTCATTAACTCTTTGAATTTAGCAGCTCCCCCCCCCCCCGTTGTAGTTTTTGGTTCAAAGTTGTGTACATGTTTTTTATTTGCCATTTTAAAAAAAAAATCTGATTTTAAATTATTCCTTTGAAAAACAATTTCAACAACAAAAGTCTCGATTACATATTAGCATAAGTTTCAAAGATTGGGGTAAAGTCCTGAAAATGTTAAATAACATCATAAACTATAATAAATTAATATTTTGTTTGGAACAAGGAAGGGAAAAACCAGGATACCCACCTATCATCTATCCATTGATTGAGTGAAATCCTGAAATATAATAGTATTTCAGGGGTGAAAGCCAGTGATGATTGTGGCTTTGCTAGTGCAAGACAATTGTTTTTAACTGTCATAGGTGGTGCTTTATTAATAGAAGCTTTTCTGGAATTGTATGTCACACCAGGTGGATTTGGTTGATGAAGGCTTCAATATATTGTACAATTTCCCTTTCTTCTGGCATGTAGCTGTTATGGGAGAACAGAACTCCCAGTTGACAACCCATAATTTTTACATGACACTTCCAGACAGTGCGACTTTTTATTGCCCAAAAGTTCCAGTTTCACATTTCAAAAGGAACAGAGCTGGAGTGGACTCTTCTCACTGTTAAAGTTACCAGGATTTTATAGACATTTCTGCGGTTCAAAGTTGGTGAACTGAGATGTCTCAGCCAAGCAGAACCTAGTAATTAAGTGTTCCAAAATCCAGAAACTTCTGAAAGGCTATTCACTTTTTAGGGGATTTCTTCTTTACAAAAATTCCTTTGTGAATGGAAAAATAGGTTGTGCTTCCACAATCACACATGTAGGGAGTGATCAGTTTGTTTGGCAAGCCAGTTTGAGTTCCTTGTTTGGAAATGGTCTTTTACAGATTCAGAAAATAGTAGATAAATACTTAAAAGGATAGGTTAGCATCTACATGCTTTGTTAGGGCTAGGGTTAGAATATTTTACTCCATTATTTAAAGGTACCAGTAAAAGTTAGCTAGAAAAGAAGGAACTATTAATTTTTTAAAATAATTTAAAAATGAAAAACATATGTCAGGTTTCTTAAGTGTTTTACTTTGTCACCATTTTTACAGATGATCCGTCTATGAACATTGGAATTTAGTGGAAAATTCATTTATGTTGTTTGTATTTTAAAATGTTAATTTGAAAGGATGACAATTGGAATGCCTGGGGATTGAATCAGGGAGATAAAAAGACATAAACGTTTAAAAATTGTGGAGAAGAAATTCAGTTAATTGAATTTGCAATCTTATAATGTCGTTTTACACTATCTAGCACTGTAGCAACTGAAACAGCCATGCTTTTTGTGTTAGTCGACATAGGATGTGATTGTGGTCCCTAGTGAGCAATCTGATTTGCAGATTACCTTCATATGGTTGTAATAATCCAGTTTCATTAAGACTAAAAATAGTTGTTCCATCTTTGTGGCTTAGAATTTCTGTCATGATAACAGTAGTGTGGAAGAAAGCCTCTTTTCAACAACTTTCATTACTTTTGGAGGGGGGTATGAAGTTCATCGTGATTCATTTGATTGTATATACAGTTTACTCCAAATAATTTGATACAAGGTACTAATAGTATAATAGAAGTAAAATATAGAATTGTATTAACTTACCTAAGTGTAATAGAAGTAAAAACTTGAGTTATATGAATTGGGACAAAAAATTTAATATTTGTTCCAAGTGATGATATATTAAGACTTTTCTTTAAAACATTAATTCATTGGTGCATTTAAAAATATGCCTTTATTAAAGTGTAATAGCTAAAAAGTCTGTTATACTTCAATCTTACTATAAAGAAATGGATGGTTTTCAGTTGAAGCATAATATAGTATTTTATTTTCTAACACAAACTTCTGAGTTGTTAATTTCCCATTTAATGACTCATATAGGTTATTTTGGTATCTGCCAACAAGCTTACTCGATACATAGAACCATCTCAACTAACAGAAGATTTTGGAGGAAGTCTTACCTATGATCATATGGATTGGTTGAACAAAAGACTGGTTAGTTTCTTGGCAAATGGTTTTTTCTTCAATATAATTGATCAAGAAATATAATCTGGTTGCCTCTAGATACAACTGGGTTTGGGGCTCCCTGGAGGTTAAAAAAATCCACACATATTATTACCAAGGTTAGTTGACAATTCAGGATTTGGAGATGCTATCATTGGTTGTCCTTTCGTTGTACACATTTTTTAAGATACAGCCAGGATTACAGATTTTTAAAAAATCTCCATTGGCTATATAGATTGTAATAGTTGTGAATACTTCCTGATAAAACTTTATGTTTAAGGATAGTTAGTTTTTTGCCATGTTCCAAATCTAAATGTGAAACATAATAAGCAAAATAAAATAAAATACAGATAAGACAGATGTATGAGAGCCAATTTGGTATAATAGTTAAGACGTCAGGCTAGAAATCAGTAGACTGTCAGTTCTAGTCCTGTCTTGGGCACAAAGCCAACTGGTTGACCTTGAGCTAGTTGCTGCTCTCTCAGTCCTAGGAAGGAGGCAATGGCAAACCATTTTTTGGGGGGGGGGACCTGCCAGAACAATTGCAGGGACTTGTCCAGGCAATCTCCAAGAATTGGACATGATTGAACATGATTTTTAAAAAAACCCAACATATGAAGTTATTCAGTAACTGCAGTTGGCCAATCTGATTGTAATTCATGCTGAATTTCATGAAAATAAAGATTTAAGATTCTGAAGTCAAATATTGATTGGCAATAGTGTAATATTAACATTATCCTTACTTGTTGGTTGAATATTTTCTTAATTGGTTATTTCAACACACATAAAAATTCTCTGCTGAAAAATTCTTGATACTGCCATTATGACAAGTATGTTTTATTTTACATTCCATTCCATTGACATACATCAGTGCACACACATCCTTGATACTCATCATTACCCTTGAGAGAGAAAAAACAACAACATAATGATTAATGTTGAATGAAGTTTCTTAGAATGGCTTCTCAACAGCATTGCAGCAGCTATCAAAACATAATGATTAGTTTGCAACTTGGATTTTTAAAAGCTTGTGTCCAGCAACCAATTATAACCTAAAGTCCTGTTTAGCTTGATGATATCCTTAGTCTAGTTCTGCTTTAAATGGTTATGAGGACTGAGCATTTAACCAAAGCCCTGGGTGTCGTCAGGAAATTACAGAGGTAATCCTAAATTTGTGATCACAATGGGACATGGAATTTCAAGCACAATTGTATGTTCTTGTGGTTGTGAATCCAGGCACCACGTGACAGGAGTTGCTTTTACAACTTGTAAAGCAAGTCATCACAGTCATGAAGCTAATTATGTGGTCTTTAAGTGAATCCAGCATGTATATTTTTTTTGTTATTTTCTGCTGGAAAATAGCAAAAAAAAAATAATCTCACAAATTGTGGTCACATGACTACAGGATGCAGCAACTTGTACATGTGAGCCAGTTACCAAGCACCTATAGTGTGATCACATGACCACAGGGAGAGAGGCAGGAGTTGTAATTTAGAGGAAGGGACATAAGTATATTTTTGAAGTCTTATATATCATAACTTCAAATGGTCATTAAGCCAACAGTCATTAAGTGAGGACTTTCTGAATCAGTGGATGTAAAAATAACACATTTCTGTGATATGGCAGTTGCTATTAATGCAAAACGTAAAGATCAACCACCATCTTTAGATTTGTTCATAATGGAACGATAAAAGAATTATAGTGCAGTGCTCAGACATTTTAAAATTCAGTTTCTGAAATGCTAACTCACTATTTTATATAGGCATTTGAGAAGTTTACAAAAGAGTCTACATCCTTACTTGATGAGCTTGCATTAATCAACAGTGGAAATGATAAGGGAAACCAACAGGAGAAAGAGAGGTAATACTTTCCTTGTTGTTATTAATTGTTCCTTAGGTACTTACAGGAGAATCTTAATTATCAAAAGTGTGGTGTTTCTAAGCTATTGTTGTGGTCGTTCTTTTTGATTCTAGCTTGATCATAGAAGCTGGCCAATCAAGCACAGTAATTCCACAGTCATTGAACCAGGTTTTGGTGCTTTTGGCAGTGTGGGCAGCTGGAAAATGAAGTCAGCATCTCCATAAATCTCATCTGCGGAAGGAAGCATGAAGTGCTCCAAAATCTCCTGGTAGACGGCTGCATTGACCCTGGTCTTAATGAAGCACAGTAGTCCAAAGTGCTGTTGCTCTGTGGTCCAAAGTCCTCTTTTCTGATGAGAGCAAATTTTGCCAATAGCACCAAAACCTGGTTCAATGACTGTGGGATTACTGTGCTTGATTGGCCTCTCCATTCTTCTTCCGTACTCTGGGTCCTTGGTTTCCAAATGAGATGCAAAAGTTGCTCTCATCAGAAAAGAGGACTTTGGACCACTGTGCTTCATTAAGACCAGGGTCAACGCAGGAGTCTACCAGGAGATGTTGGAGCACTTCATGCTTCCTTCTGCGGACAAGATTTATAGAGATGCTGACTTTATGTTCCAGCTGCCCACACTGCTAAGTTCTTAATGTCTGTTCACTTATTTCCTTTGAAAAATAACCAAAACAATTTTAAAAATGTTAAACATTCCTGAGATTTTGAAAATTTCCTTGGACATTGACAGGTGTATATTGAAACATAACATGACTTCAGTATTCACAATGGGGAAAAAATAGAAATTTGCATAATTTTTATTGCTTTTATGTCTTAAAACTTCTGTTTTCATTCACAATAAATTATTTTTCTCTTTCAAGGTCTTTAGATACTAATTTTCTACCATCTGTTGATCCTGAGACGGTTCTGCAGACAGGTATATCAGTCCAATATGGCACCATTTTTTAAAAGTAGCACGAACATAAACTGAAGCAGCCACTTAACTAAAGTCCATACAGTTAATCAGTTACAGTTAATTACTATAAAATAATGCATTTATAAAAGTTTTCCTTTTCTCTTTAAATACAGAATTTCTATATGCAACTATTCTGCTTCCTTCTAATTTCTGGGAAGAGCAGCAGTAGAGAAATAAAGTACTAGTCTCTCTTTCTGCTGAAATTGTTGAATTTATGTGTGTAAAACAGCAAGCAATTACAAATTGAAATTCCTTTAAAGATATGGTAGCCAAAAGCAGAAAATTCATGCCAGCCCAGCTATTGTATTTCCCCCCAAATTCTGTAAGTGGTTTAGTCGGTATTTCTCCATGCCTGGTTTTCTAAAAACAGTTCAGAAAGACAGTGGCACAACTTAGAGAGGGAGAGAGAAGCAATTTTACCTTATTGCATCACCATTTTAGTGTTTCCACAGTGTCAGCTAGTGATTAGTTAGGTATTACAAATTGCCCCAGGGAATTATTTGTATCCTAAAACTGTCGTTGGGGTATTTGTTCTCTGCCTTCTTGTTGTTGTACTCAGTTTGATTCTCCCATGTTCTTCAGTTTTGGGAGAGTTACTGAAAGTTGCAGATAAGTGACACCAATCATCATCATCAGTCCTTTACATCTATGTCAATTGAGACAGCTGATAGATTAGGTCTTGGACTAAGCAATGAATTAAAATAAGATGGGATTCAGTCTATTTCAGGTGGAGTAAGTGTTTGTATAGGTTTAGCCTGCCTAATTAAATGGTACTCTGTTTTGAATGTCATTTCAATTATACATTCCAGCATATTGCAAGAGGGCGGGGGGAGAGAGATGCAGATGAAATGATATTGCTATCCTCACTCCACAATCTTATATCATGCTGTGGTTTTAACCTCAGAAAATTTGCATAAAAGCTGAAATTAGAAGCCTTTATGTTTCTAGCAAAAAGTGTTTCCCATTAAAGTTTAGCTCAGTTTTTGCCCGAGACATTAGATCATTTGCATACTTAAAATATTTATATGTATATATTCTATTAAGGTCATGAGCTCTTATCGGAATTGCAGCAACACCGTTTTAATGGTTCAGATGGAGGAGTCTCCTGGTCTCCTATGGATGATGAACTGCTTGCTCAGCCCCAGGTTATGAAGTTATTGGATTCGCTCAGAGAACAGTATACACGGTATCAGGAAGTATGCAGGCAAAGGAGCAAACGAACTCAGTTGGAAGAAATTCAACAGAAAGTAATGCAGGTAAGTGGTATACTCACTTGCACCTATTGTCCATATTAGTAAAATGATTAGATGGAGAGTTAACAAGTTTTTAATACGCTGTGTCAGTTGGTGGGGGCACCTCAAAACTGCTACAATTTTTCTTGGATAAATGCAGCTTCCATTTGCAACGGACATATACCTAACAAAAGGTATGCTTGATTTCAGGTATTCCTGACAAGTATCAGGTGCATACCCAAATCACATTTGCCTTTTAAATTTGAATCACGGCATTGCATTACCATAAAATTTGTATATCTAATGATTGGAATCCAAATTTGCCCTTTTAACGCAAGTCTGTTCCCCACCAGAGTAATAATAAGATAAACTTGAAAGAATTTGTGCATTGAAAGGTCATGAAAGATCAAGTGGTGCTCTGGAAATTGATATTAGTTTGGTAAAGTGGCTAAGGTGCTGGAGTAGAAACTATCGTAGGAGACTTAAGAGAGTGGTTTGGGGAAAATAGGCAGATGTTATATGCATGTTCACTGCCTTGAGTTGACTAAAAAACTCAAAACAAAGGTGGGTTGATTGAGAACAATGCAGTCTAGTTAGTGAAGTTAGTTTATTTATGATGCATTTAAATAGATTTATTTACAGGAGCATCCATCTCATTTTTCATCATTCTAATTACAACGTCATTTCCTTGCTCTGTGTTACTGAATTACATAGGAAATTAATTATACTTAGACTGATAGTAAAGTCTTGCATTCTCCCCTCTTTATTAGTTACTAATTTAGAAATCATCTGCTAAAGATTTACACACACATACACACCTTAATAAAATAAATGACCAAGGGAATACATTTTCAAGCCTTCAGCCAATTTTATCACCTTATTTTAGTGATGAAAAAGGAAAAACCAGAAGACAGGGGAATGATAGCTGGCATATGCAGATTTATTGTAATATAAAATACAGGCAGTCCTTGGCTTACAACAGCAGTTTGAACCAGAATTGTCATTGCTAAGTGATATGGTCGTAAAACAGCATGATGTGACCATGCCACTTCCCATTTATTCTTTGCTTCTGGAAAGCTGGCAGGGAATATCAGAAATCAAGTGTCTGTGGGAATGCTGGAGTGACAGCCCCATTCATGTCCCCCTTGTTCAGTAACGTTGTCCCAAAGGTGGTTTTTCAAGAGACAACTGGACTTTCTTGTTTTTCCTTGAAGATATTTTGCTTCTCATCCAAGAAGCTTCTTCAGCTCTTCTTGGATGAGGGACATAAGCATCCCCTCTACCTTCATCACCCTTACAGGGTGATTTTCGGCCTTGTAGAGCCTCCGGGCTTGAAGAAATCGGTGGGACTTCGCGGAGCTGCCGCTTATCCACACCACTTATCCGCACCACTTCCCCGCGAGGTCAGCTGCTTTCCCCCTGGCCTAATGTATTCTTGAATGTAACCTCATTATGAAACAACTGTAAAAGCTACCATAGATGCTTTCAAATAAAATGTCTACTGTTAGACAAAGCCTTTTTGGCTAACAGCCAAAAAGTATTTCTTTTTTAAAGAAAAACCAGAAAGTCCAGTTTCCTCTTGAAAAGGCACCTTCAGGACAACCATGACCTGGATGGCTGAGAATCTCCATAAACACTTCATAACTTTGGTTAGAAATGGATGCCACCCAAGGGCTCTGTGTAGCTGGTGCTGTGATATATTCTTTCTTCTTGTATGAGTCAGCCATATTGAGAGTTAGTACAAATAAGACTAAATATATACTGTGGTATTTGTCTAGTTTTTTCCCAGATACTTGTGACTGACAGTTATCTTCTATTTTTGATTTTAAAAAACTGGTATGCACTTGCAAGTGAATGGTGACTGCATTTGTCCCTCATTTAAAACCATAATTATCACATTCCAGCCACTATGTAGTAAATGGACTATAAAATGGTATTGACACATTTTTAGTTACTTTCTATTATAACAAGAATTTGGTTAGCAGATTTAAATTGTCTGCAAAGTATGATTTCTGAAGCTGGCTTATTGAATAGTGATCCTCATATTCAGTTCCCAATATAAATAACTGACTAAAAGTTGCAAAAGCTTCCAAGACATTCATATGTTAATATGCACATGCCATTCATAAGTGATTTCTGTGCACCCAAATACAATTGAATGGACTGTCCTTCAAATGGATTCTGTGTGTTGACAGTATTATATGATAATACACATCCATATTGATTTTGATATAAGTAATGCAGAAATTTATGTTTTACAGGTTAGTATACATGGGATAATGGAATAATGCTTAACACTGTCAGATTCATATAACCACTATGTATTATCTTGGACTATAAAACTCTTGGAAGTAATAAAAGGGCTAGGAAGGGAGATAAATAAGCATGGAAGTGGCCCGGAAGGAAGTGTCTGAAAGCTTTATTTTCCATTTGCTAGCCTTAAATAGTCATGACCTTCTTTGGCTACTACCACACAATAGATGATGTGGACTGGAAGGATCTCTATTATCCATGTACAGTTCACTTTGTACACTTTGAATTTTCAGTATTTCTGCATAAATCTGACCTGAAATGTGATCATCTCTCCAAACATCCTAGAATTAGATAATAAAGAGAACCCAGTTAAACCAAGGAGTCAAAAATATTTAAGTACCATGGCAGTGTAAATATGTTCCTAGATTTCTACACAATTTTTGACAAATGCTGTTGTAATGCCACCTTGTTATAGTATATAAAGTAATCTATGCTAAGGTGTTTTTTAAAGGAAATTTATCTTGATAACATAATTCCACAAATTAGAACAATCTACTTTTCACTAGAAACAAAAAGGCATTGCATATTAGCTGTCAATATAAGTAAGTATAAGTTGAAAATGAGGTGTGCCTCCTTTCCTTTGTGCTGTTTCTGACATGAGACTGATATTATTAAGGTTCACAAAGAAAGCATGCATTTAAAAAATGGGGTCAGGTTGTTTAGTCCCTTGATTTTGTACCAATCCTGACCTCTCCAGTCCTTATTTTCCTTCTGGAAATAAGGTTGGTATTTATGTATATGCTGTGCACTGTATTAGGAAAGGTTGCTTTAAATAATAGAAAGCCTTTAAAATCCACCTTGCCCTATATTGGTTTTAAATCATATGTGATGACGAACATGCTGCTTTTTGATTTAAATAGGTAGTGAACTGGCTTGAAGGGCCGGGTTCGGAACAGCTTAGAACCCAGTGGGGAATCGGTGATTCAATTAGGGCTTCACAAGCTTTGCAACAGAAACATGAAGAGATTGAAAGTCAACACAGCGTGAGTTTTCATTTTCCCAAGGAAGTTACCATGTAATGATTTTTTATATGTCATTTATTGTATGCAATATTTCGAGTGGCCTTCTTTTCTAGTGAATTTTAGACAGTGATTTATGTATTGGCAAACAGGGCACATTTTCTTCTAGAACAAGCTACTGATCATGTAAATGATTAGTTCTAGTGTCATAATAGTATGCTATAGTTGGAAAAAGGAATGACTGTGCCTCTGAGACTGAAAATAAATCATTGTCTACCAAGGACCCTCTAATCTCTTGGACCTCTAGGGGTGGGGGAAGTTTCATTTATTCCTGCTGGTTTTGGACAAAGAATAATTATTCCTCCCAGTGAATTATTTGTACTGGTTTCCCATTCTTTCCAGATGACTAGGGAACAGGAAGATTCCTTCCATTCAATACAATTGAGCTGCCTGCTTCAACTATTTGAATAGGAATGACAAGCCAATTCTGTTCACCTATTTGTCCTTTCCCCAATGGATAGCACATTCTATAATCAACGGGTAGCACATTCTCTAATCAACCAGTGATCGTTGTGCTAAAATAACAGATTTATATAGCTTCAACAATTTTCTGGATGAACTTATAAGCCAGCAGTGAGGAAATGGTTCTCTCTGTCCATTCCTCTGTAGCAGGAGTGTCAAACTCACGTTGTCACAGTGGTGTCATGTGATATATTGGGATTTCCCCCCCCCCCTTCACTAAACCAGGCGTGAGCATGGCCAGTGCGTGACGAATCTGGCCTGGGGGCCGGCAGATCGGCAGCCCCACTCTATTGCATCTGTTTCTCTGCCTACCACCTTCTCTAGTCCACTCTGCTTCTGTCCCTATTTCTCAGTGCTTTTCTCCCACTCTTTGTTATATGTCCCAGTGTTTCTGTTTAGCCACTTGCCTTTCCTTGCCCCTCTGTCCCTGCACATTTGCATTTTTACTAGTATGTAGGTTCAGGTCAAATATTGCAGATGCTTTGCATTACTTCAGAGCGTCTCCTGTGCTTTTATGAATGGAACACACTTCCTATGTAACTAGAGCAATGATGGCTAACCTTTTCTGGACCGAGTGCCCAAAGCTCAAGCATACATGTTCATGCGTGCACAAATGCCCAAAATGCAATGCACGTGCAGTCCCGCACATGTGCCCCAGTCCCCAAGCGTGCCATAGGTTCGCCATCATGAAACTAGAGGATGGTGGAGGGGGGGAAGTAAAGAAAGCCTGGGAAATTATTTAATAAATGTAGGATAATGAAAAGGAGAGGTATAGAAAGGGAAGAACGGTATGATCAAGGGAACAAATAGATGAACAGTCAAATGCATTTTGTGGAGTGTTAAATAAATGCAGATATAGATATAGATATAGATATAGATATAGATATAGATAGATAGATAGATAGATAGATAGATAGATAGATAGATAAGATATAGATATAGATATAGATATAGATATAGATATAGATATAGATATAGATATAGATATAGATATATAGATATAATAGATATCTATTAGATTTTTACAA